ACTATTTGATTGGGTTTTTGTTTGTTTATTTTGTTGGTTTGGCTTTTGGTTTTTCGAGACAGGGTTTCTCTGTGTAACAGCTCTGGCTGTCCTGGAACAAACTCTGTAGATAAGGCTGGCCTTGAACTCCCAGAGATCCGCCTGCTTCTGTCTCTGCCTCCTGAGTGCTGGAATAAAGGTATTTGCTACCACCACCTGGCCTATTTGATTGTTTTTAGTGTGTGTGGATATACTGTCTGCATGCATTGTGTCATGTGCAAGCCTGGTGCTCTCAGGCACTAGAGGAGGGCTTCACATCCCCAGGAACTAGAGTTCCAGGTGGCTGTGTATGACCACATGGGTTTTGGTAATCTAATCTAGGACCTCTGGAAGAGCAGCCAGAGCTCTTAACCACTGAGCCATCTCTCCAGCCCCAGACACTGTTGTTATGGCCCAGAATACACATTAGGTTAGGAAAGCAGGTACTCCATCTCACCCAGAGTTCTTGGACTGGGGAAGGGAAACACTGTTGCCTCAAAGACAGAGCCTAGAAGAGGTATGTGTACCTTTATGAATGTCTTGGGTCTGCAAGCAGGGGTGGAGAGGGCAGGCAGGAGTCTGTCCAAAGACTGGCCCAGCAAGTAATGTTTACACTGAGGTATGAGCACAAGTGAACTCATGGCACACACCCCTTCTGTGTATTTCCAGGGGCCCACTGTACATACGAATGTCCACATATGGTAGTGGAAGCCAGGCTCTGCCATCTGAAGATCTCAGGAGGTCCGAGTCCAAGGACAGGCAAAGAGAGAGACAAAAGCGGCTGCAGTGGAGACGGGAATACAGTGAGGTGACTAGGGCACAACTCATTTTAGATTGTGTAATTGTAGGGTCAGGCCAGCTTTCATTAATGACACCTGTCTGCGTGACACTTCATTGCCTCACCTTCCCTCCAGGCCCCGCATCCCACCCCATGACGGCAAAGATTGTGTGAGAGAAAGCACTGGGGTGTGTGTGGGGGGACGGACAACTTTACGGTGTGAGAACTTCAGGTTACAACCCAATAGTGAGTCACAAAAGCAATCTAATGGGTGTATTAGTTTTGCTGCTATAATAATAATATGGCAAGCTGGGTGGCTTAAACAATAGAAATTTGACTCATGGTGATGAAAGCTAAAATCCCAAGATCAAGGTGTTGCCAGGTTGTTTTTTTCTGAGGACTATGAAGGGCATTAACTATTAATTTTTCAAGGAACATTGCTTAAAGTGGGTCGGGCGGTGGTGGTACACACCTTTAATCCCAGCACCCAGGAGACAGAGGCAAGTGGATCTCTATGAGTTCCAGGTCAGCCTAGTCTACAGCATGAGTTCCAGGACAGCCAGGACTACACAGAGAAACCCTGTCTCAAAAAAAAAAAAAAAAAAAAAGGAATAGAAGGGGTTGGAGACATGATTCAGTGTTAACAGCACCGGCTGCCCTTCCAGAGGAGCCAGGTTCAATTCCCAGCACCCACGCGACAGCTCACAACTCTCTATAACTCCAGTTCCAGGGGATTTGGTGCCCTCTTCTGGCCTCCAAGGGCATCAGACTCATATTCGGTACACAGACATACATGTAGGCAAAGCCAGCAACACACACATAAAACAAAATAAGATAGAAAATTGATAAATAAAGTATCAATAAGTACCTGGGCATAGTGGCACATGCCTTTAATCTGAGCACTTTGGAGGCAGAAGCATAAGGGTCTCTGTGAGTTCAAGACCAGCCTGGTCTACATAGAGAGTTTCAGGACAGCCTGGGCACATAAAGAGATTCCTTATCAAAAACAAACAAACAAACAAAAGTGAACATATATATCCAGGGTAATCTAACGCCTCCAAGGACACTGCATTCATGTGCACATATCCTCATGCAGACACACACATAATAAAATAATAAAAAAATAAATGTTTGGAAGAGGTGTGTGTGTTTGTTTTTGAGACAGGATTTCTCTGTGTAGCCACAGCTGTCCTGGAACTCACTCTGTAGACCAGACTGGCATTGAACTCACAGAGATCCACCTGCCTCTGTCTCCCAAGTGCTGGGATTAAAGGAGTGTGTCAACATGCCCTGCTAAAAAATAGTTTTAAAAAATTAAAAAGAGGGGCTGGAGAGATGGCTCAGAGGTTAAGAATACTGACTGTTCTTCCAGAGGTCCTGAGTTCAATTCCCAGCAACCACATGGTGGCTCACAACCACCCTGAATGAGATATGGTGCCCTCTTCGGTCGTGCAAGCATAAATGGAGACAGAATGTTGTATGCATAATAAATAGATAAATCTTTTTTTAAAAGATTTTATTTATTTATTTATTATGTATACAGTCTTCTGCGCTCTTAACCGCTGAGCCATCTCTCCAGCCCCCAATAAATAAATCTTAAAAAAAATTAAAAAGAGGGGCTGGAGAGATGGCTCAGCGGTTAAGAGAACTGACTGCTTTTCCAGAGGTCCTGAGTTCAATTCCCAGCAACCACATGGTGGCTCACAACCACCCTGAATGAGATCTGGTGCCCTCTGCTGGCATGCAGGCAGAAGACTGTATACATAATAAATAAATAAAATCTTTAAAAAAATTAAAAAGAAAAAAATTAAAAACAAAGAAAAGCCAGTGCTCTGCCTCACAGTTGTCACCAGATGCGTTCCCTCTGTGACTGCCCCAGTCCCATGCTTGCCTGCCTTCTGCCACAATCCCCACTGTGCAGGTCATGGTCTCTAACTCTCTGGAACAATGAGCCCCAAATGAAATGTTTTCTTTTAAGAGTTGTCTTGGTCATGGTGTTTTGTTATGGCAATAGAAAAGTAAGTAAGACAAATTGTTCAGTGAACCCTTGTTCCCATTTTCTGTGTGCATGTGATTCCCAGACCTACTTCCTAGCACAGGTCGTGTTTATTTAAAACAAACCAGCAAAAAAGGATGGTAAGGTGGCTTGGTGCAAAGTGCTTGTTGCACAAGCATGACTGACTTGAGTTCGGTATCTGGAACCAAAGTAAAAAAAAGTCATGTTTCGCTGGTGTGGTGATGCATGTTGCTGTCAATCCCAGCACTCAGGAGGCAAAGGGCATGTAGCTCTCTATGAGTTCAAGACCAGCCTGGTCTACATACTGAGTTCCAGGATAGCCAGGGCTGCATTGTGAGACCTTGGCCTCTCTCCCACAAACAGATGTGCATATTTGATGATGCCCATCTGTAATCCCTGTACTCCTATAGCAAGATAGAGGGTGGTAGTTCACTCAAAGCTCTTAGTCCAGCAGAGACAAGAGACCCTGCTTTATAAGGTAGAAGAACCAGCTCCAAATCTTGTCCTCTGACCTATGCAAGTGCATGCACCCATGTGAACTCTCTCTCTCTCTCTCTCTCTCTCTCTCTCTCTCTCTCTCACACACACACACACACACACACACACACAAATAATAAATAAGTAGACCTTCAGACTTTAGAATTTAAAACACCCTTTGGATGTTGGTGTTACATGTGACTCTGTACTGCTTTTAGAATTACGTTATGGACACGTCTTTCTTCCTCAGGTGGAGTCTAGGCTCGAGGAGGATGATAACTCATCATAGCACTCATTATCATCACATTGTACAGCAGCTGGGATAGACGGCACAAGTCTTTGTGATACCAGAGCTACCGTTCATTCAGCATTTCTTCTGTGCCTGGCACCAGGCTAAATGGTTCACATGGATTCTCTTATCTAAGAGGTGAACTCATCGCATGGGCGCTGGTGTTGTGTCCTGTTACTATGAATCTTTCCTCGAAAAGCCGCAGAGCCCCACCGCCACGTGTGCGCTTTATGCCAGCCTCTCGCCCGAGTTAGGGCCCCAATTAATGCGCAGAGAGACTTGTATTAGGTACAATTCTGCTTGGCCAATGACTAGGATTCCTCATCTGTTAGCTCAGTCTTAATCATCATAAATCTATATATTTTATAAGACTTATCTTATAGAGGATGCCTTTCAATGGTGCCCTCTCTTGCTGGTGGCTCACATCCTGCTGCTGGAGGAGGCAAAGGGAAAAAGGACACTTCCTGTTTCTCCTTGCTCAAATATGAGTCTCCTTGCTATGTCACTTCCAGTCTGGATCACCACTTCTCTACTACATTTCCCAGAATCCTCTTTGACGCCTAGTCCTGTCTAACTTGTTGTTTCATTGGCCAAACAGAACTTTATTAAACAATCAATAAGATAAACATACACAGTACATTCCCCATCAGAGTCCTGCAATCAAGGAGCAGAGATGTGAGCCATGGAGGGGACACTGCTCCCACTGAAAGGTGGAGGCAAGCCCTCCACCATAGGAAGCTGATTCCTGCAGTCTGGAGAGATCCCAGGTATGACAGAGGTGACCGTAATAGAAAAGCTGCCAGCTGAATATCGTATGATCTCTTCATGGAAACTAGACAACAGTTGTGTGATGCCCGAAGGTGTGAGGGACTCCCCCCCCCCACAGGGCAACTTTATTGAGAGGAAACATGGTCACACCAGCAAACATGTGTTCCTTCTCATTCTCTCTCTCTCTCTCTCTCTCTCTCTCTCTCTCTCTCTCTCTCTCTCTCTCTCTCTCTCTCTCTCTCTCTCTCTCTCTCTCTCTCTCTCTCTCACACACACACACACACACACACAGCCCTTGCCACAGTCCAGTTCTCAGCCACAGGGGTGGGAGCCTCCTGGATTCCTAGGATCCAGAAGGAACAGGTACAAGAGGGAGGCACAGGGGGAGAGGGGCAGGTTCTGGAGTGGTGTAGGGAAGTTGGGGTACAGAGAGCAGGGGTGGGCAGAGTTAGGAACAGCCACCAGACAGCTGCATGAGAGTGGGATCCCCAGCCCCCCCCAGGGCCTCAGCCTGCCTGCCCCTTCCAAGGAGCCTTTCAGGGCGTGGCAGAGCACCCAGGGTTTGGGAAGGGCTGGGTCCCACTCTGTATTAGTCCTCTCTGCAGACTGGGGACCGGAGGGCCAGGGCAGGGCAGGGCAGGGAGGGAGCTGCTTCAGCTCTGGGGCTCCTCTGGAGCTTCTCCACCCTCTTCCCCAGCACTGTCGGCAGTCCACAGCAGCGTCAGGTTGTCTCTCAGCAGCTGCATAAAGAGAGTGCTGTCCTTGTAGGAGTCCTCATTCAGAGAGTGCAGGTTGGCCATGGCCTCATCGAAGGTGGTCTTGGCCAGAGAGATGGCCTCCTCGGGGCTGTTGGCTATCTCGTAGTGGAAGACAGAGAAGTTCAGGGCCAGGCCCAGGCAGATGGGTTTGGTGGGCGTCATCTCCTTCTTGCTGATGTCCATGGCCTCTTGGTAGGCTGACCCGGCAGAGTCGACGATGCGCTTCTTGTCGTCCCCCGTGGCCACCTCGGCCAGATAGCGGTAGTAGTCGCCCTTCATCTTCAGGTAGAAGACACGGCTCCCGGCCTCTCCAGCCTCCTTGATGAGGTGGGAGTCCAGCAGGCCCAGCACAGTGTCGCACACGCCCCGGAGCTCCGTCTCTACCTTCTCCCGGTACTCTTTGACCTCGGGGCCCTTCTCTTCCGACCCCTCCTCGTTGCTCTTCTGCTCGATGCTGGACAGGACCCTCCAGGCCGCTCTCTGGCCGCCCACCACATTCTTATAGGCCACGGAGAGCAGATTCCGCTCCTCGCAGGAGAGTTCCTCGCCCTTTTCCACGGCCCCCTTCATGAAGGCTGCCATGTCCTCATAGCGCTCGGCCTGCTCCGCCAACTTGGCCTTCTGGATCAGACTGGCTTTCTCCATGACTCCGAGGACAGACAGGTGGGCGAACTGGCTGCCTTGAGACCAATGCTGGAATCTGTGTCGGTGTGAGGGACTTTTACCTGATGACTGACGGAAATGTTCTTCTGTATATGTTTCTCTTATTGGTTAATGAATAAAACACTTATTGGCTGATTGGCTAGACAGGAAGTGACATAGCTGGGCAGAAACTTGCCACTAGCTAACCATAGAGGTCTGTAGGTCTGTACAGACAACAGGAAGTGATGTAGCTGGGCAGAAGCAGGATATAATCAGAGACAAACAGGAAATCGCTCCTCTTCTCTGTGGAGATGCTTAGTGGTCACCATGTGAGCCGCCAAAGGAGTTAGAGGTCCAGACCCTTCTCCAGTAAGATAAGACCACATGGAAATACTTAGATTAATAGAAATGGGTTAATAATTAAGACACAGCTAGCCAAATAAGATGCCCTCGTCATCAGCTGAAAGTTTCATATTTTTGTTTGTTTGTTTTGTTGTTTTTTCGAGACAGGGTTTCTCTATGGCTTTGGAGGCTGTCCTGGAACTAGCTCTTGTAAACCAGGCTGGTCTCGAACTCACAGAGATCCACCTGCCTCTGCCTCCGGAGTGCTGGGATTAAAGGCGTGCGCCACCACCGCCCGGCTCAAAAGTTTCATATTTAATATAGCATCTGTGTATTTATTTGGGGCTCTAGGGGGGGTGAAACTCCTACCAGGTCAGAGAACTCATTCAGCAGATGACTGACGACTTTCACTTGGCACTGAGTGTGACAATAGATGAGCATATTGGCCTGTTGGAAGGCATAGGGAATAATGAGATCGCCAAACCAACTCAGCTCATCCAAGTCTTCTGTGCACCAACTCTGGCAGACCTGGGGGCTGATACTCATGAAGCCAATGAAGACCAGGAACAGACGCCTCCCTCTGATCCCCCCACCATGTAATATTTAAGTTTCAATGGAGATGGGAAGGTTTGCCTCATTTGCAACTATGGGAAACCCAAATTAGCTCATGACACCGAGATTTGGTTCCTGCACAGAACATTATATTGGCATTTTCTCACAGATACCTTTATAATCTATTACTGCCAGTCCCTTCACTTATAACACAAGCCTGCTGGCAGAAGAAATGGACTCTTTTGTGAACTGGCTGGATCCCAGCAAAGGGTTTAAGACCAAGATCTTTTTTTTTTTTTTTAAGATTTTTTTTTTTTTTTTTTTTTTCAAAATTTTTCTTTCCCCTTTTTTTTCCTCTTCTCTCTGTGGGGGTTTTTTTGTGGGTGTTTTTTGCTGGGAATTGAACTCAGGACCTCTGGAAGATCAGTCAGTGCTCTTAACCTCTGAGCCATCTCTCCAGCCCAAGACCAAGATTTGAATCTCAAAAAAGAAAGGGCCCATGTACCCTGCAGGTGACCAAAAAGGCCTGGGCCCTGAGCTCCAGGTGTTAGATAATTTATGTCCACTTGGAACAAGCTAAGTCATCTGAGAGGAGGGAACCTTAATTAAGAAAATGCCTCTAGGGCTAGTGAGATGGCTTAGCAGTTGAGAGCACTGGCTGCTTGCTCTTCCAGAGGATCCAGGTTCAATTCCCAGCACCCACATGGTACCTCAAGTCTGTCTGTAACTCCAGTTCTAGAAGATCCAACACTTTCACACACACAGACATACCAATGCATGTAAAATAAAATAATAAATTAATTAATAAATTTTTAAAAGGAAATGCTGTGGACAAGCCTATAGGGAATTTTTTTGTTTTTAAATTAGTGATTGATGGGGGAGGGCCCAACCCATTGTGGGTGGTGCCATCCCTGGGCTGGTGGTCCTGGGTTTTATAAGAAAGCAGGCTGAGCAAGCCATGAGGAGCAAGCCAGTAAGCAGCACCCCTCCATGGCCTCTGCATTAGCTCCTGCCTGATGGTTCCTGTCCTGTTTGAGTTCCTGTCCTTATTTCCTTCACTGATGAATAGTGATATGGAAGTATAAGTTAAATAAACCCTTTCTTCCCCAACTTGCTTTATTGTTCATGGTGTTTCATCACAGCAATAGCAAACCCAAAGACAACTCCCCTACATTGCTAATCCCTTCTCTGGCTCTAGAAACCCTGTCTGAAAATAGGCATTTAATTATCCCACAGGGGTGGTGTCAACACACAGATGGCCCTGGGGTGGCCCCAACTTTGTGACTGAAGGGACCCTCCTCAGTGACCAGAGCCTCAGGCCTTTACTCACATGTAATTAGCCAGGAGATGGGAAATCATGCTGAATTGTCGCTGGGAGTCCTTCCCTCAGTGGGTTGTGCCAGCCCCAGCTCCAGAACCAGCTTAGACTCCAGACGTATCTAGAGCTTCCCTATCAGTTTACCCAACCCGTAACATCTTAGCAGTGGTTAGAAAGGGCCCCCCTCAAGAAACCCACAAGAAACCTGTAATGACTAGTCAGGTGACCATTTCAGTCAGTTATTAAAGTCTCATACTCTCAGTGGCATTAGCTATATTTCGGTATGCACATGGCCAGTAGATTCCATATTGGCCAGATGGAGAAGGCGAACACCTCGTCTATTGCAGTCAACATTTTTCCTACCTTTCTTGAGATGCCTTAGCTTGAAGGGAGGGCACATTCCGAGAAAACACTTAAAGACACAATGTTATGTTTGTTTATTTGTTTTTGTTTTTGGTTTTGGTTTTTTACAACCTAGACCACAAAACACACCCTGTCCCGCGCGCTGTATTTTCTCGCCAGCAAGAAATACATGCAGGACACTCGGATCCTTCTGCAGACAAGCTTTAATGCATAAGCTGACCAGAGCGGAGACACTGAACCAAGAAAACCATCCCTTATAAAGGCTGGCCAGCCGCCTGGGACGTGTTACCCTATGAATGGCTTCAGCTCCTCAGGCCAAATGAGCCACGGGATAGGCAGAGATCAAAGGAATGGAGATTACCCAGCGCCTGTGAAGTAATTTACATCTTGGTGTCTTCAGGCACCATTATTGTAATGGATAATGCAGGAACCGGCTCCCTACAACACCCCACTTGAGTCCTTTCTTTTTAAATTCTCCGCAGATTCTGGGGCTGGAGAGGTGGCTCAAAGATTAAGAGCTCTGGCTGTTCTTCCAGAAGTCCTGGGTTCAATTCCCAGCCACCACATTGTTGCTCACAGCCATCCGTAATGAGATCTGGTGCCCTCTTCTGGTGTGCAGATATACACGGAAGCAGAATATTGTATACATAATAAATAAATAAAATCTTTAAAAGAGAAAGAAAAAACATTCTCTGATTCATCTTCCTGGTCAGTTTTCTGTAAACTTTGCAAAGGGTTTTGCTTCCAAAACAATAAAAGACAATAACCTTATCAATGGATTGATCCAGGGAACTAGTAACCTGAATTAATTTCACAGACAAAACAGCTGAATTTGTGGGGGGTGTTAATAGATGAGATGAAGTCACAGAAAAGAAGGAAGTTATCGGGTGCCCTTTGACACCTCTGACTCTCAAGACTTCACAAGTGCCCCCAAATTTCTATTCACTTTGACAGCAAGTCATCATTACTTAGGTTAAGCCATGTTATCTATTAGGAGCTTCCCCAGTGTCCTGCCTGCTCCTCTCCCGCCCAAGGTACGGGCTCAAGGACCCTGTTTTATTCGTGTTAAGGTTTGCTTCTGAGATGGCCTCACCGTGTAGCCCAGGCTAGCCTCCAGCCCTCCCCACTTTAGCTGTGATTGCTTGTGTACCATCACCATATCAGCCACTTGTTCCCTTCAAGATCCCTCAGCCCCCTTAGTCTCCAACTTTTAGCTCTTTCATTATTGTAGTTCTGTACTCTCAGCAGACAGTCAGGTTCAAAGTCCTCACCTTTAGAGAGAAAAAAAAAAGCCAAATTGTTATGAGTCAAATCCAGCCCTCCAGCACCTATATCCAGTGAGTTCAAACATTTGTTGAGTGTTTATGCTTCACCCAAAAGGACTCAGACTAGTTAGCAGAGAGTAATATAGTTCTGAAGAGGACAAGGTGTTATGGGAGCTCCCAGCAGGGACACATAGTCTTAAATTTCTCAGGCAATCACTGATCCTGCCTACTCAGGAGCCAAGCCCTTCTTTGTTGCTAACAAAGTCTAGATTTTTACTAGAGCACCTCCCAGGTGCTCCCAGGATACCTTTAATCGGTGTAGCCAATTAAGGTATTTACATTCCCCTACTCAGTGACCCGAGCCTCGCCAATTTGAAAACTCCCTGGGAAAGACGTTGTCCATCTTCTCTTCACTGCCACTAGGATAGCTGCAACCATATAGTGACAGGACATCTCACCAGTCACTGAGGATAATGTGTCAGTGTGAAAAGGTAAACAGCCCTTGATGAATTAACCAGTCTGGACCTGCCATAGAACTCTTCGCTTTTTATATCAATGTAGTGCGTGCGTGTGTGCGTGCGTGCGTGCGTGCGTGCGTGCGTGCGTGCGTGCGTGTGTGTGTGTGTGTGTGTGTGTGTGTGTACCTCAGTGTATATGTGTTTGTGTGTGTGTGTATATGGGAGTATATGTGTGTGTGTGTGTGTGTGTGTGTGTACCTCAGTGTATATGTGTTTGTGTGTGTGTGTATATGGGAGTATATGTGTGTGTGTCAGTGTATATTTGTGTGTGGGGGGGGAGTGTATATGTGACTGTGTTTGTGTGTGTTCGTGTGTACAGGCAGACACAGAGATCAGGGGACAACTGTGGGAGTCAGTTCTCCTCTTCCACCTCGTGGGTCCTGAGTCTAGAACTCAAGTCTCAGGCTGAGTGCCTCATTACCTTACTCACAGATGCTCTGGGTTCAGTCTGCTTTATTGGGCATTCTGTTACTTGTTCCTAAATATATCCCTAACTGAAACCCCGATGGAGCTACAGAAGATGTAGGGAACACAGAGCCCACAGTAACTACCTTTCCATGCTCCCACAGCCACCGGTCTTGAGACCTCACTAAAGGAAGCATGCCCTCAGGGAAGCACCCAGTTTCAAAGGAGCCAAGCAGCATGTGGCCAGGGGATGGGAAGGGGTGCCCTGTGGTTAGGAAGAGGAAGCACTGGGCTCAGGGTAGAAGGGTGGACACC